GTCTCACCAAGTTGCCCAGGCGGGTCTCGAACCTGCGGGCTCAGGCAGTCCACTCACCTCAGCCTCCCAAACCGCGGGATTACTTTTGAATAGTCCTGATCAATCATTTTGTGAAATATCCCCCAGTTGGGGTTTGTCTGATGTTTTCTTATGATAAGAATCAACTTTTGCATTTTTGATGAGAATGCTACTGGGGCCAGCCCCTTCGTGTCCTCTCCCAATGTGGGAGATTTTCTGTCCTCTCAATAAATCCTGCTTTCTGGGGGGAAAAAAAAAGGAATGCTACTTTTATCCATTAATTTTGGATTCCATTACAGGTAAGAATTGTTACTTGTAACAGTTGTTACTTACCTGTAACAATTGTTACTTAGTGTTTACTAAATGCTGACATATTTTATTTCCATCATTCCTTCTGTATTATTAGAATTCTGTAAGGAAGAGCTGTTCTTTCTTCTCCTATTTATTCAGTTATTATATCAATGTAGATAAATAATTTATTACTAGAATTGTTTTTTTTCCTCTCAAATTATCAGTTTGGCCACTTGGCGCCCCTTCAGGAGGGCTTCTGTGACCTTTTTACATATCTCCATCATTTTTAAAAAAACATTTCTTTACTCTTTGGCAGCACAAGATGTGTCAAGCTTACCTTGCTCCAGCCTTAGAATCTGTCATTTCTCCAAAGAGCTCTATGTTTTTGTTTTTAAATTGGAGATTGATATTTAGAAACAGAATCTGGCTGCTGGGTGTGTTCATTCCTACTGTTCTGTCGTTTCTTCTAGATTGTCTCAACTGACAGAGCTAGGAAGTTTGTGTAGGTATATATACATACATGAATATCTCTCTCTCTCTCTCTGTATCTATATATCTGTGAATATTTATCTACTTACTAAGAATAATAAGTTTATCCTGATCTTTCCAATTACAACACAATTTCATTAGTTTTGTTCTAGATTTTTCTCTTTCTCGACTTGTAACTCTTTCTTCAACGGTGAGCAACCTGGCTTGCATTATCCACGACATATCTAGACATAGGTCAACCCTAGTGTATGTGTAAAGAAATTTCTGAATTGCAATCCCAATAATCCCTTTGAGAAACATCCTCACCGACTAAACAATATGTTTGGGTACAGTTCTTTTTGTCTTCAGTCTTACAGTATATGGTAAAAATACTGCTTTTCAAAATTACTCCGGTCAGATATTTTCTTTCTACTCCTTTCGTTGTGGCCCTGTAGTTCATTGTAATACAGCTGCCTTCTTGTGTTACTTTTTGTGTTCCATTTGGGGTTTCCCCTACACATAGAGGTTGATTTTAATTACTATTTACTTGAGGGTGCATGAACTACGACAATAGTTCTGAGTCAGAACAATATGAAAAGATACATCAGAAACGTGTCAAAACCCCTCCTTTCCTCTGGCACATTTCATTACCCCATTTTTTTCTACCCCTGTAGACAACCAGTTTCATTTGTTTCTGGTTTATTTTCCTGTATTTCTTTTTGCACAAATAAAGAAACACATATATATGTTCTTTTTTTTTTTGAGTTGGAGTCTCACTCTGTCGCCCAGGCTGGAGTGCAGTGCACGCTCTCGGCCACCGCAGCCTCGAGCTCCTGGGCTCCGGCGATCCTTCCCCCTCAGCCTTCCAAATAGCTGGAACTACAGGCGCGCACTACCATGCCTGGCTAATTTTTGATTTATTGTAGAGATGAGGTCTCACCAAGTTGCCCAGGCGGGTCTCGAACCCGCGGGCTCAGGAAATCCACTCACTTCAGCCTCCCAAAGGCGTGGGATTACAGGCTGAGCCACCGAGCCCGGCTATATATATGTTCTTATACAGAGATAACATTTCAATGTCTTTTTATGGTGCTGGATACTTTGAATGCTGTTTGATAATTTCATCTCTTAAGGGTACTATTTATAATTGATCTATCTTTACTGTTAATGTATTAGAAAGAAATCAAACTATTATTTTCTTTTTTGTAAAATATTTGCGGAATTTTATTGTATTTTTTTGTTGTTGTTTATTTATTAATTGAGTCACGGTCTTCCTTTGTCACCCAGGTTGGAGTACAATGCCACGACACAGTTCACCGCAGCCTCAACTCCTGGGTTCAAGCAATCCCCCCACCTCAGTCTCCCCAGTAGCTAAGACTATATGGGCTTGTACCGACATGCCCGGCAAATTTTTTTGTAGAGATGGGGTCTCCATATGTTGTCAAGGTTGTTCTCTAACTCCTAGGCTCAAGCAATCTTTCTGCCTTGGCCTCTCAAAGTGTTGGGATTATAGGCGTGAGCCACTGAGTTATTTTCATTTTTTTTAGAATGAAGGTGACAACATGAATTTGATGGACTCATTAATACTAAACTGTATTTTTTGATAGAATTTGTCTAAAAAAAGATAATATAAAGCAAGCAACAATGTTTTTCAAGTTTTCTTTAACTCAGTATTTTTTTTGCAAGATGTTACTTTTTTTATTTTTCCTTATTACTTGAATTATTTTAAGCATCAATAAGCTGTTATAAAATGTGTATTTTTTTGCCTCTGGAGGTCTTGAAGAGTAGCTTTTCTTACATCCAGCAGAACAAAATATTTTTCTAGGTTCGTTAGTAGTGCCATGGTGCATTTCATCATACACTCTTTCTTTCCAAATACTCTGCAGGCATTTGGGCAATCCTTTTCCATCCACCGGAAAGTTGCTGAGGATGGAGAGACTCGGGAGGAAACGCTTCTGCAGGAGTCAGCATCAAAGGAGGCTTACTATCTGGGGAAGATCTTGGAGATGCAGAACGAGCTGAAACAGAGCCGGGCTGTTGTCACCAATGTACAGGCAGAAAATGAGAGACTCACAGCTGTTGTGCAGGATCTGAAGGAGGTAAACAATCAAATTCCCTGGGAAAGATTTGTGGGAGAGAAAAATAAGATAAAGTTCTCTCTGTGAAAGTGAGGAATAACAATTATGCTCTAATCAGAGATCTGTACTAAGCGAGAAGCACATAATACCGATGCTAGCATTTTTTCTACTTTTTCTAGTGAAATGTCAGCTATCTTGTTCTGAGATGAACTTTTTTCTTGTAAGTTTTTCTTTCTTTCTCTTTTTTTTTTTTTTTTTGAGTCAGGGTCTCTTTTGGAGGTCAAGTTGGGAGGATTGCTTGAGCCCAGGAGTTTGAGGCCAGCCTGGTCAATGCAGTAAGACCCCCTCTCTGCAAAAAATAAAAAGATCAGTCGGGCATGGTGGCACAAGCCTGTAGTACCAGCTACTTGAGAGGCTAAGGCAGAAAGATCACCCAGGCTAGAGTGCAGTGGCACAATCGTGGCTCACCACAGCCTTAGCCCCCTGGGCTCAAGTGATCTTTCTGCCTTAGCCTCTCAAGTAGCTGGTACTACAGGCTTGTGCCACCATGCCCGGCGATCTTTTTATTTTTTGCAGTGACAGGGTCTCATTGCATTGTCCAGGCTGGCCTCAAACTCCAGGGCTCAAGCAATCCTCCCGCCTCGACCTCCGAAAGTGCTGGAATTACAGGTGTGACTGACTCACCACACCTAGCCTTTGTTTTTTACAAATGAAAGTTTTCATGTATTGAGTACTTGGGAATTGGCCTTGTTATTTCTGCAATGGTGTTAACAAAATATAGCAACCTTAGCACATTGTCCCACATTACCTGATTTAATACAATGTGGAGAATGGTTGGCTGTAATGCTCTATATCAGCACTAATTCAAAATGACAGTAGTGTTAGCTCAGGATACTTCTCCCTGGAAACGAGATCTCAGGGGAGTGTTCTGAGGGTTCTTCGAGTCTGGCAATGCAGATTTTTAAACTGTTTTTTTGGTTATAGAGAAAGGTAGCACATTTAAACTGGTGTGAAGTAGGTCAGGGGATGTCTGTCAGTCTGTGAGTGTTCACTGAACTATTTCTCATCAGCTTTTCCAAGGCAGCATCAGGTACTATTTCATTTTCAGTCTGAATGAGTCATTCTGTATTTGGAGCAGTGATGCTGGGAGCAGAGATAGCCCAAAGCAGCTTCATCTATCAAACTCTACTAAGAGCATTTTTGGAAACTTTATATTGAACCATTCCCTCCATTTTTTAAAATACGAAAGCGATGGAAGAGTAGCAGATGCCCTCTGACTCCTATGCCAAGGCAGTCGTGATTGACAGACCCACAACTGGTGGGCTCATTAATTGAGCATTTTAGCAGTAGAAAAATACAGGATGAAAAATTGTTCAATATTGTAAAATCTAAGAGTAGCAATCCATTAATATTCTTCACTTGAACTAAGTGACATATTGCAAATAGAGTTCTATTATTATGAAATATAAGTTGTCCACTATTGATTGAAATTTTATAATTTACATTTGCACATGTCTGTATTACAGTGAACTAAATGTGTATTGACAGCAAGATTTCTGTGTTGCTTACCTCGTTGTCGTTGGATTTGCCCAAATACAGCAATATGACCTGTGGAGACAGAGAAAGGAGCCAGCCAAGCGGAAGGTGGTGTTGGGTACTAGGAAGAACATCAGGCAGTTTTCAGGACACCAGGGTATCCCCTTTCCCTCCGATGTGAACAGCTGCTGAAAACAAATCTGCTCTTCAGTTCTCACTTTATGCACCTGTATGTGCTGGCTTTTGGCCATCACTTGCTGACCCCTTGGGGTACTAGACCCTCCTCTTCCTCCTAAGGAGCTGCCGTTCACCCTTCCACAGTCAGGCTTCCCTATGAGACCAGAGTCCACTGCAGAAGTGAACACAGGGTTTTGTAGCGCCATAGCCCACCATTCTGGATAAAGCAAGGCACTGAACATCGCAGGGGGCAGCCTCAGTGACCATGAGCAGGAGGGTTTGTGCAAGCTAGCAGAGAGGGCATGGCTGGGGCAACATGTGGACGGTGTGCACATGCATGTAGGCAGTTTATGGAGGAGAAATGCGACCGGTGAGTCACGCAGGCTTGATGGTCAGTTGAATGGCTCCTCTGAAAGCTGCACGTCCCCACTGTGCATGGCAGCTGTAGCTGAGGAAAGGGCAGCAACGGTGAGAATGGGGCAGGGAATCCACAGAGGCTTTCTGTGTGGGTCAAGGCAGTGGTGATTGATGGAGCATCCTCACTGGCACAGCCGTGCCTGAGGGTAATTCCAGTTTGTATATTGATGATGAGTGGCAGGAATTAATTAAGAATGAGAGGCTGGGCGCGGTGGCTCATGCCTATAATCCCAGCACTTTGGGAGGCCAAGGTGAGAGGATTGCCTGAACATGTGGGTTCGAGTCCAGCCTGGGCAACTTGGCGAGAACTCATTTCTGCAATAAATCAAAAAATTAGCCGGATATGATGGCGCATGCCTGTAGTTCCAGCTATGGAAGCCTGAGGCAGAAGGATCGCCTGAGTCCAGCAGGTTGAGGCTACGGTGGCCAGGAGCCGGAAGCGTGCCACTGCCCTCCTGCCCTGGGTGACAGAGTGAGAATCCCACTCAAAAAATAAAAAAGAATGAGAATATAGGTTAGGAATGAACTGAGGCAGCAAAGGAAACAGTCTTAGAGGACCCGTCATTCAGATCAGTTCTTAAACTTTAGGGCACATCAGAATCGCGTGGAGAACTCATCTCAACACAAACCCTGGGCCCCATTCTAGGGATCTGATTCAGTAGGTCTAGGTCTAGGTCAGACTCAAGAATTTGCATTTCTAACTAATTCCCAAGTGATGCTGGGAATGCTGCTCTGGAAACCATGTTTTAAGAACTACTGATTTAGATTTTGCTGACCTGCTCGAAGCTGAGGAATGGAGGATCATAAGGCTCACAATTTAGGAATTGCTATAAATATCATGATCTTAATAAATCATCTGGTTATAATCTGTCAATTTCTATGCATCTTCAATAGTTGATTTGCAGTAAGAGAATAACTTGTTACATCCAAATTAGTATATTTTTACAGTTTTGTCTATGCCTGTTTATTCAGACTTCTCAGGTAACTAAAAGAAAAAAGTATGTTTCCTTGTCTTCTTAGTGTGCCAACACAGTATTTGTTAATGTTCTTTCTGATGGGCTGAAAGCTAGTGGTATTACTATACCTCTGAGGCGACTATTTTTCATCTAGTTTTCATGTTTTGATGTACCTAAGGCAATTATTATTAGCATTTAGAGCTGAATACATGTTATACGAGGAGACAAGGACAAAATCTATTTTTTTGTTCTATTGATACACACTTTTGATGGCTGATATTAAACTGAAATCTCAGATTTGCTTTTATCGTAGGCTTAATCTTATTTTATTTTTGTACTGTTTGCATTGGCTGATGCATAGTGACTGGAAGAGAGATCATGTAACTTAGAACAATCATGACATGATGGGTCATGAGAAATAGACAAGAATAACCAATCTCAAATTTAATAAATCAGCAGGACACGTGCTGTGTAATTTTGATAATTTAATTAATGCAATCATTTTTACTTACTGAAATAATCTCTTTTTTTCATTTTATTCAGGAATCATCTCGTTTCAGTAGGATTGTTGGTCATGGTGAAGGGGTGTGTGTGTGTATGTGTTATGTGCAATATGGATGCTTTTTCTCTGTGTGTGTGTGTGTGTGTGTGTGTGTGTGTGTGTGTAAAATTCCAAGGTCAAATTTTCTTCCATATATGGTAGTACAAGGGTAGTATAGTGGAAAATGAAAAAATTACTGAATTAGGTATTAGAAAATCAATATTCTAGTCTCAGCTCTGCTAAAAGTTTTAGTATTAGCTTCATTGTATTTATGAAATATATTTTAAGATTATATTGATATAGAGTGCTCATACATAATAAACATAAGCTCTCATTGTTAATAATTTTCTGCATCCTCCATAAAAAGATTGTTGAAGGTGGGTACAGTGGCTTATGCCTGTAATTTCAGCACTTTGGGAGGCAGAGGTGAGAGGATTGTATGAGCCTAGTGGTTCGAGACCAGCCCGGGCAACTTGGTGAGACTTTGTCTCTACAATAAATCAAAAAATTAGCAGGCATGGTGGCATGCACCTGTAGTTCCAGCTAGTTAGAAGACTGAGGCAGAAGGATTGTTTGAGCCCAGCAGGTCGAGGCTGCAGGGGCCGTGAGCGTGCTACTGCACTCCAGTCTGATTGATAGAGTGAGACTCTGACTCAGAAAAAAAAAGATTGTTGAAGGTATAACCCATTATGTTGATTATATTCTTAGGTTAAAGAAGCTTTAGATAGGTATCTCTTTGAATTTATCACCTAACGCATTCTTAATTGTGATATGAATCATGTAGTAGGAAACAGTATTTCTGCCTTGATTGTGAAGAAGCTCCAGGGCTATGTTTAACTGTAAGATGTGAACCTGGGTTTTTAAATCTAATTCTTCTTACTTGTAAACAGTTTTATTATATATGTGTCTTTCATGGTAAAACTACTTTCAATAATTTTTAGAAGTACTGGCAGTACAAAGAAAAAAATTATCACTCAAATCAAAGAACTAAATTAAGAGTTAATCTCAACCAAGGTAGGATTAATCCTACGGGGTAAATAGTAGACAGAGAGGAAAAATCTCTGCATTCTCTTGACCCAGCATCATTTTGTTGAGCGCATAAAGAAAATAGATTAGTGTAGTGTCAAAGCTGATATTTAGTAAACAGGTTTGAATTTCAGTTTTCTTTCTCCAACCTATAGTTCTAACATACTAGAAGATAGTCTAAATAGGCTTATTTGGACAATATTTATTGAGCACTTATTTTGAGCTAAATTAAACTGAAATCCACATTGATGAAATCATAAAATAGGCAATGAAACTTAACACTACTTAATGCTCTCAGTTGTTAGTGTCTGAAATGTAAGATATGTCAGAATTAACTGCAATATTTACAGGTGTAGAAAGAAATTGTA